AAAAAAAGCCACCACCAGCCAACTATTGAAATCAAGAGCGTAAGCGAAAATTCTCTCCCAAAGAGAAGAAAAAACTAAACGAACAGATAATTGCAAAGACATGAAGAAGAAGACAAACCAACTGACTCCGTTTGTTTTATGTGTAAACAAACTGAAACTCATGTTGCCTTCATGGATGAAAAAGTGAACGTTCAATGTTCGCTAGGAACAAATGTATGTGGAAATGAAAACTAGTCAGCACTATCATAAAGTCACATAGCAGGCAGCCAAAAACCAAATAAAATACCAAAATTCGAAGATTTCGTTTTGTTCGTTTACATACTAGGCCTTTTTCACGTGCCGAAAATCCCGGGATTATTGGCAAATAATCTTGGGATTTGTAATTTCTTTTCTTTTCTTGTTTTATTTAATAATTAATATTTGTTTCTAAATGTGTAGCTCATTATACATAGAAAACAGTGCGATAGAAAATTTTACACACTAACATCAAGATATTCGCGAAATTATGGACCAAATATAGTAAAATTGAGTTTTTAGTTGTCACTCTGACTACAGTAACTCAAAAATGATTTTAAAAATTCAGTGAAATGTGCTTACAGCTAATTTCACGAAAGCAATTTAAGTGAAAAATTGACAGAAAATAAAAAACCATTTTCCATTTAAATTACTGGCGAAACCGGCTCTTAGAGAAGAAGTATGGGTATCAAATTAAAGAGGAAGTTCTGAGGAATTTAATCAGATTCAGTTTTTGGTGCATAGGAACTGTTAAGTATTGAAAATGTCATTTTAAAATTTTACCTTGAAATTTCGCAATACATATTTGTTTTTGAAAAAAATATATGTTAAGGACTTATATAAACTCGATAACATCCTCGAATTTCGTCCTTCTAACTTTATCAGCTTAAAAAATTACCTATTACCTGCTTGCGAATCTAAAATATTTAAATTTTTTTAATTCTAAAAAAAAAAAACCTGTTTCATTTGGTACCCATATTTTTATCCTACATTGCATTGAATTTCTTAAATAACTTTTTGAATTGATCATATCTTTAGAGTTACAAACTACGTTAAAATAAATCCTTATGTCGGAGAAAAAAACGCCATTTAAAAAAAGGAGGTTTCAAACCCATTTATTTACTATTTATATAAGCCATTTTTTCGATATCAGTTCTTGAAAAGTAATGAATGGCTAAGTGACGGGACTAATCCTGGGATCCCGGGATCGTATCATCCCTCATCGCATCATCGTATTATCATCCCTAGTACATACATACATATATGTTTTCAGATCATATGTTTTCGTGATGGATAATATTTGCTGGCAAAAATTTTTCAGCACCAAATGAACGTTTACTCTCTTTTGAGTGATGGATAATTTTTTGGCGTTATCTTGTGAAAATTAGGGAAAACTAACAAACATTTTTGTGTTGTCGAACGGATTTCATGTACGTACATACAAGGATTTAATGCCGGTTTTTTCGAGTTTTGCTTATTTTAGTTATGTATGAAAATATTGAAGTAAATGAGCGATATGTTCACATAAAACTGAATTGGGTAACATGTTAAATGCTGAAGATACTTAACTGCATTGGTTTTTGTTTGCTTTGAAGAATGTTTGTTTTTTATACCCGTGCGCACATGTGCAAAGCGTATTATAACATTGTTCACATAACGGTTGTTTGTAACAGTCTAAAGGAATCGAGATAGAAATAGACAAATGTATACATAAATGATAAGAATGAATAGAGAAGTCGATTAAGCCATGTATGTCTGTCCGTCCGTCCGTCCGTCTGTCTGTGTACAAAATAACTCGAGCAAAAATTGAGATATCTGAACGAAATTTGGTATGTGGGTTGCCCTTTATCCAAGGTAGTTTGGTATTGAAAATGGGTGAAATCGGACTGTAACCACGCCCCCACTTGCCATATAACCGTATTTTCTAAAAATGCAAAAACTACGATATTCCAGTAAATATTGGATCCGAATTGTTGTTGTTTTGGTACAAAATAATATTATGAAATTTTTGGAAAAATGGGCGTGACCCCGCGCTCTTATGATCACCACGATCTTTTTACACCTGCCGCCATATGGTCGAAACACTGTGCGCCTGGTATATGAAATTCGGTTCCGCCTGAACTTATACTTCATTACTTGTTCTAAAATCAGTTTCATCTGGAATTTTCATGTGAAGTGGTTGGAGTTCTTCCCATTTAACTGTATTTATTTCCATTATTATTTTATTTATTATTATTAAAGGAAAAGGTTAACTTCGAATCGATATACCTACATACATACATACATATGTATGTGCCTGTAAACGAAAATTTAAACAAATACATGGAAAATAGAAAACTGTTTATTTATAGCCCGGTAAAGTTAGACATTCAAGGTTACAATAATTCGCATAAAGCTGAAAATTGGTACGACTGTTGCGAACACCATTATAAATTAAATGCCAAAAGTCCCTACCGATCTCACGTCACTTTTAATTCACACCGCTTTCATCACTTCCAATAAGTCGTGGAGTAGGCCTACCAAGGAAAATAAGTTAAAAAAACACTACCGCACCGGTGCAATGGAAATTTTGCATATTATGGAGAACTAAAATATTTGAATCGCTATACCTCAGAAATGGTAATCTTTAGGAAGAAAATTGTTATAACAGTTTTCATAGACAATTGTATGACCTACACTTGCGTCACACCTATTTCTATGATAAAATGCGAAAAGGCAATTGAACAAAGTGAGATCAATGGGGACTTTTGACATTTCATTCATAAGGGTGTTCGCAACACTCGTACCAATTTCCAGCTTTATATATGTGAATTATTGTAAGCTTACCTCTATTAGTTGAGCTAACTTGACTGGGCTTATTTTTCATTCACGTAACGGAAAAATCAAGGCATATTAAACAGGTAGTAGCAGTAAAGCAAATGATTTTTTTTTTCAAATTATTTGGTCTGAAACTATCAAATATTGTTAATTTTTTTGACAAAATTATCAAAGGATATGTAGAATGAAACAAATTCACAAAGAAAGAAAGTCGCACCATTTTTTCACATTGCTTACTATGATATTTACAGAAGTAGACTATTTTTTGCTCTAATGCTAATGGCTGTTTTATATACCTTGGGAACAACTGAAATCATTTAGAAAATTTTAATGTTTCTGATTTTACTAATACTCTAGCATGTTACATTCGTTTAAAATATTACTAGAGAATAAATGAAGTATTGCGACCACTGCTAAATTTAAGAGTCTTTTTAATTGTACTAAAGTTTGCTAAATTCTAAAAAAATTATATTTTTCATATAAAAAAACTTTGAAATTTTTAATTGAATATAACAGTTTTCAGTAATTTTAATTTTTTTAATATTAAATTTTTAAAAAGCTAATTGTATCCGGACTTTCCGTGCTTAGTTTCGTGCAAGTAAATTGAGAGATAGAGCTTTTATAGTGACGAAAATGTTGTAAATCGACGCACTTCAGGCACTCCAATGGCTCTAGCTTCAAAATGACCATTATGAAACTTAGCAGGGAATATCTATCCACTAGAAGGCTAGAAGGAAGGAATTAAAAATTAAATGTAAAAGCCCTCAAGTACACAATATAACATAGGAATAATATAAACCCAAAGCTTTATTTATTCTATTGTAGCCTTCAAAGCAGACGATCTGTATATACAGCTAACTATAACAAACTCGAGTATTACTAAAATTTAAAACATCAAAATTTGTTACTTGTCCGTTTAACGTTAAATAGATACTCATTTCACTACATAAGTTCAAAAAAAAAATTATATGTTTATAAAAATTTGAATGATCTATGAACTTTTTCAGCAATTGCAGCACGAAAAAGGTGGAAAAGCCTACGTGATAAGTTCAGGACCACCTTTACTGCTATCCCCAAAACGAAGGCAGGCGATGCCCAGTTCGCTTACAATATGCACGAGTGGAGATATTTTAGAAGCCTTTTGTTTTTAAGAGATCAATTTTCAGCTAGAAAATCTTCTGAAAATTCCGTTAGCGAAAATAATGATGATATCCTTGAAGATACATTCGAAAGCTTGCTAAACCATGATGGGGAGAAAGATATGAATTTTGTGCTCCCATCACAGGAAATTAATGACGGATCTCGCCAAGATTTTACGCCTTCTTCGTCGCGGGCTTCCACATTCGATGAAAACCCTCCACAGGCAAAAAGGTCCAAACAAGATAGCCTTGGTGATGCTTTACTGCAGATAGAGATGGAAAAGCTTAACTATTTAAAAGAGCAAGAACTGCACAAACAAGACGACGAAGATTTGAGTTTTTTCAATAGTTTGTTGCCGGCCGTTAGAAAATTTTCAGCAGTTGATAAATTGGATTACCGAATGATGATATTGCAGGTCACTAGAAACTTTTTGACGAAAACAGAAACTGACACAGTGGGAGCAGCAGCTGCTCC